CAAAGTAAATATGGGCGTGGGATACCTATAAGCTACTCTACCTCGCAGACAATTAGCAGCAGACAGAGCGCGAAGAAGGCAGAGGGAAAGTTGGCAGCAGCCGCAAACATCCAAAAAACGGAACTCTACCTTCCCCTGCATCTTACATCGCGGACCGTAGATCGGGTCAACTCGAGTTCACTCGCGCTGCGCAGTAGGTGATTCTGCCCAGAACCTTGATCACGATATCATCAACGTATCCTGCTAACAATTTGGGTTTTTATTATTTTAACAGTCGCCTGTAAAGCTTTTGCAGAACCACCTATGCAATTAGCACAGAGATTGGTAATCCAGTTGGCGTGTCTTTACTTTGCTCGTATGTGATCCCTTTGAAAGCGAAGAATGTCGTAAGACAATGCTACCTCAGTTCGAGAAGGTACTAGGCGTTAGGCTGACACCGTGACTTAAAAGGTTACTATTGGCTTCCCTTCGGCAGATAGTAGAAAACTGAGGGTCAATTCATGGCTTTAAAGACCAGCCTTATGAATCTCATTGTACGGTGTTTTGCCATGAGTAACTAGGGGTGAAGATGGTGGAGCATAAAGCAAAAGTAAGTCTGAACAGAAGAAGATATGGAAGCCTTTAACCAAACAGATAATAACTGATAATTATTATTCTACTATCGCTAAATGAGTAAGCCTGTATGATAACTCTTTCGGCTAACCAACATCTGTCCGCTCTTCGCCTGCAAGCATGTAACTGTATCACACAAACCAGGAGTGCACAAGAGAATAGGAGAAGACTGCCAAGTTAACCGAAATGGAATCTGGTCCTTGCTTTGAACTAATATGCCCAAAGAGCAAGCGGTTGGGGGGGGGGGAACTACACACACACGACACTCACTTCTCCTCCAACAAAGTTTGCATAAGTTCAAGATCGATTTTCAGATTGCTCAAACGCAGGTTGGGATCTCTAAGAACGCAACGAAGCACAGCGACCACAGTGACGCCGGTGGTAAAGACCCGATAAGTGAGCAGAAATGTGTTGAGAAAATCGATGGACTGAAAACGCGGATCCAGGAGACGGTCCAGCAAGCGTCCCAGGGTCCCATGACGCACCTATAAAAATCAGTAAATCAGGGCAACAATGTAACTAACGTTCGCAATGTGTAAACAAGCAACTTA